ACAGCAATCAGAGAAGAAGAAGAAATAAAAGAAATCCAAATTGGAAAAGAAGAAGTAAAACTCTTACTGTTTGCAGATGACATGATACTATACATAGAGAATCCCAAAGATGATACCAGAAAACTACTAGAGCTAATCAATGAATTTCATAAAGTAGCAGGGTACAAAATTAATGCACAGAAATATCTTGCACTCCTATACAATAACAGTGAAAGATCAGAAAGAGAATTAAGGGAACAATCCCATTTACCATTGCGACAAAAAGAATAAAATACCTAGGAATAAACCTAACTTAAGCAGACAAAAGACCTGTATGCAGAAAACTATAGACACTGATGAAAGAAATTAAAGATGATACAAACAGGGCTTCCCTGGTGGCGCCGTGGTTGAGAGACCGCCTGCCGATGCAGGGGACACGGGTTCGTGTCCTGGTCCGGGATTATCCCACGTGCAGCGGAGCGGCTGGGCCCGTGAGCCATGTCCACTGAGCCTGCGCTCTGCAATGGGAGAGGCCGCAACAGTGAGAGACCCGCATACCGCAAAAAAAAAAAAAAAAAAAAAAAAAGATGATACAAACATCTTGGATTGGAAGAATCAACATTGTGAAAATGACTATACTACCCAAAGCAATCTACAAATTCAATGCAATCCCTATCAAACTACCACTGGCATTTTTCACAGAACTAGAACAAAAAATTTCACAATCTGTATGGAAACACAAGACCCTGAATAGCCAAAACAATCCTGAGAAAGAAAAACAGAGCTGGAGGAATCAGGCTCCCGCACTTCAGACTATACTACAAAGCTACAGTAAGGTACTGGTACAAAAACAGAAATATAGATCAATGGAACAGGATAGAAAGCCCAGACATAAACCCACACACATATGGTCCACCTTATCTTTGATAAAGGAGGCAAGAATATACAGTGGAGAAAAGACAGCCTCTTCAATAAGCAGTGCTGGGAAAACTGGACAGCTACATTTAAAAGAATGAAATTAGAACACTCCCTAACACCATACACAAAAATAAACTCAAAATGGATTAAAGACCTAAATGTAAGGCCAGACACTATAAAACTCTTAGAGGAAAACATAGGCAGAAGACTCTATGACATACATCACAGCAAGATCCTTTTTGACCCACCTCCTAGATAAATGGAAATAAAAACAAAAATAAACAAATGGGACCTAATGAAACTTCAAAGCTTTTGCACAGCAAAGGAAACCATAAACAAGACTAAAAGACAGCCCTCAGAATGGGAGAAAATATTTGCAAACGAATCAACGGACAAAGGATTAATCTCCAAAATATACAAGCACCTCATGCAGTTCAATATATATATAAAAAAAACCTAATCCAAAAATGGGCAGAAGATCTAAGTAGACATTTCTCCAAAGAAGATATACAGGTTGCCAACAAACACATGAAAGGATGCTCAACATCACTAATCATTAGAGAACTGCAAATCAAAACTACAATGAGATATCAACTCACTCTGGTCAGAATGGCCATCATCAAAAAATCTACAAACAGTAAATGCTGGAGAGGGTGTGGAGAAAAGGGAACCCTCTTGCACTGTTGGTGGGAATGTAAATTGATACAGCCACTATGGAGATCAATATGGAGGTTCCTTAAAAAACTAAAACTAGAACTACCATATGACCCAGCAATCCCACTACTGGGCATATACCCTGAGAAAACCATAATTCAAAAAGAGTCATGTACCACAATGTTCATTGCAGCTCTATTTACATTAGCCAGGACTTGGAAGCAACCTAACTGTCCATCAACAAACGAATGGATAAAGAAGATGTGGCACATATATACAATGGAATATTACTCAGCCATAAAAAGAAATGAAATTGAGTTTCTTGTAGTGAGGTGGATGGATCTAGAGACTGTCATACAGAGTGAAGTAAGTCAGAAAGATAAAACAAATACTGTATGCTAACACATATATATGGAATCTAAAAAAAAAAAAAAAAGGTTCTGAAGAACCTAGGGGCAGGACAGGAATAAAGACGCAAATGTAGAGAATGGACTTGAGGACACGGAGAGGGGTTAGGGTAAGCTGGGATGAAGTGAGAGAGTGGCATGGACGTATATATACACTACCAAATGTAAAATAGATAGCTAGTGGGAAGCAGCCACATAGTACATGGAGATCAGCTCGGTGATTTGTGTCCACCTAGAGGGGTGGGATAGGGAGGGTGTGAGGGAGATGCAAGAGAGAGGAGATATGGGGATATATGTTTATGTATAGCTGACTCACTTTGTTATACAGCAGAAACTAACACACCATTGCAAAGCAATTATACTCCAATGAAGATGTTAAAAAAAAAAAAAGAAAGAATCAGACTGCCAATGCAGGGGACACGGGTTCGAGCCCTGGTCCGGGAAGTCCCACATGCCGCAGAGCAGCTAAGCCCGTGTGCCACAACTACAGAGCCTGAGCTCTAGATCCCACAAGCTACAACTACTGAGCCCTCGTACCACAACTACTGAAGCCTGTGCGCCTAGAGCCAGTGCTCTGCAACACTGCAGAGAGAAGCCACTGCAATGAGAAGACTGCACACCACAATGAAGAGTAGCCCCAGCTCACCACAACTAGAGAAAGCCCACGTGAAGCAATGAAGATCCAATGCAGCCAAAAATAAATAAATAAAATAAGTAAATTTATATAAAAAAAAGAAATGACAGTGAGGAAATAGTTTTAATAATAAGCTTCGACAACTGATGAGATGAATAAACAAGGAGGATGACTGTGAGGCTTTAATTGGCTGGTGGTTGGTGATGTGATTGGCAATGATTGGTAAGTCAGAGAGGGTAACTGTTAAGGAGGAAAGAAAAGGCAACAAATCTGGTTTTGATGTACTCATTTTGTTATAATAATTATTGATTATTTACTGAGTAGGAACATTTATCTTTGTTTCAAATCAAAACAAGTATTCCTTTGTAAAGATTTAGGATTAAACATTGAAGTATTAGTATTTCTTTCAATTTAGATGTATTTCTCCCACTAAATATTTAATCAAAATTTGCAGTAAGCTTGCTTTCAGAGAATGAAATGAGGGATATTAAAAGTAGGGGTAATGATACTGCATAATTATAAATTATCAATAGGAGATGATGATAAGCATGTTGTCCCAATATACAAGGAAGCTCTAGGGGCAGAATGAAAAGGACAGCTCCCACCTAATGTTTCATTTTGCGCCCTTTCCTTCAGTTAAGCTCCCAGTGACGTATATGGGACGTGGATTTTCCTAGCCCCTGCCTCCTGTAGCCAGGGTTTCCTCTGTGGTAACGAGATGGAGCCTCAGAGAAAACAAAGTAGGCTCCTGACTTGTTTCCCCTCTGCGGCAGGTGTGGTGCCCCACCAGCTGGTGCTTCCAGACAGAGGGAGGAGTTGAGCTCAAAAGCTCACTACACTGTCGGTGGGAATGTATTGATAAATTGGTGCAGTCACAGTGGAGAACAGTATGGAGATTCCTTAAGAAACTAAAAATAGAGCTACCATATGATCCTGCAATCCCAATCCTGGGCATATATCTGGAGAAAACCGTAATTTGAAAGGATGTATGCCTTCCAATGTTCATTGCAGCACTATTTAGAGTAGCTAAGACATGGAAGCAACCTAAGTGTCTATCGACAGATGAATGGATAAAGAAGCTGTGTGGTATACACACAATGGAATATTACTCAGCCATAAAAAAGAATGAAATAATGCCATTTGCAGCAACATAGGTGGACCTAGAGATTATCATACTAAGTGAAGTAAGTTAGACAGAGAAAGACAAATACCATATGGTATTACATTTGTGTGGAATCTAAAAAAATGGTACAAATGAACTTTTTTACAAAGCAGAAATAGACTCAAAGACATAGAAAACAAACTTATGGTTACCAAAGGGGATGGGGTGGGGGAAAGATAAATTAGGAGTTTGGGATTAACATATACACACTACTATGTGTAAAATAGATAACGAATAAGGAACTACTCTATACCATAGGGAGCTATATTCAATATCTTGTAATAGCCTGTAATGAGAAAAGAATCTGAAAAAGTGTATATATATATACACACATATATATATAACTGAATTACTTTGCTGTACACCTGAAACTAAGACAACATTGTAAATTAACTATACTGCAATAAAAAAAAGGTTAACAAAATAAAATAAATAAAATGAGGGGGGGCATGTATCCTTAAGCTACTATCTGGGAAAAAAAGCCCACTGCAAACTGAGAACCTATGAAAATAGTCAATAGATAGGTGAAGGGGGTCCAAAGTTACAGACTTCCAGCTATAAAATAAGTCCAGGGGATATAATGTACAGCATGGGGATTATAGTTAATAGTACCGTACTGCATATTTGAAAGTTGCTAAGAGGGTAGATCTTAAAAGTTCTCATCACAAGAAAAAAAAAGTTTTTTGTAATTATGTGTGCTGACAGATGTTAACTAGACTTACTGTGGTGATCATTTCATAATATATACTAATATCAAATCATGTTGCACAGATGAAGCTAATATAATGTTATATGTTAATTATATTTCAATTAAAAAAAAAAAGAAAATGGCCAACACAGTGGGGCAGGAATACATTTCCAGTGTCATTCATTCCTGTCAAGAGTGACATGCTGAGACCTGGTGGAAGGCAAAGCCTCCACCCACCATAGGCACAGGTTAAAATTAATGATCCTTCATCGCAGGTCTAAGAAAGGACTTGCGGTAATTTGGGGTATTTGGGTTATGGTACCAGGCTCTGTCTTAAGGTTGGGGCGGTTTGTTCTGGCCGAGGTCAGCTGTGTGTTTGTTCTCTCTGCCTGTACTGGAAGCTGTTGCAACCCACAGCCTCCCCGGCGCCCTCCCTCCTCATCGCAACTAAGGCTAATGCTTCACTAGCCTTTGCAGAAGAGTTGGCTTCGCAGGAGGGTTGAGCTGGGCCAGAAAGGAGGAGCTTAGCCCTGTGTGCAAAACCTGGGAACCTGACTAAACATTAGTCCGGGGCCAGGATGAGGACAAAGAGACTGGAAAGACATCCCGCCCCCCTGGTAAGAAAGCCCCGTGATCAGCTCCAGCCACTGGCGGTCCTGCCATCCTCGGAACTTAAATAAAGGGACAATTGGAGCCGAAATGTCACAGTTCTGACCCTTCAGGCTTGGACCACCGGGCACCCCCGACACCATGAGTTGGTCCTCACACCCCCGGAGTTTAATCCTCTGCTTCTACACTCTTTCATTGCTCTCTTCAACATGCCTGGCAGTAAGTGTGCTGTTTACAAAACGTATTTGTTTTAAACAGAAAGCTTAAAAATAAGAAAATATACGATAAACTAGTGAAATGTCTGTATTTTTCTCCTCTAGTATATTGCTACCCGAGACAACTGCTGCATCTTAGATGAAAGATTTGTAAGTAGTTTTTATGTTTCTCGCTGTGTTTGCACTGGACGTGGGCAGAGAAATAAAAGAAATTCTCTCGCAAATATCATTTGGCAGTTTAGACTTTTTTTTTTAAATGAAGTCTAGGTTTTACCTATTTTGATTAGTAGATCTTATGTAGCTTTTTATCAGGATTTTAAAGCACTCTATTATTGTATTTTCAGGGTAGTTATTGCCCAACTACCTGTGGAATTGCAGATTTCCTGTCTACTTACCAAACCAGTGTAGACAAGGATCTACAGAATTTGGAAGGCATCTTACGTCAGGTTGAGAACAAGACATCAGAAGCCAGAGAGTTGGTCAAAGCAATCCAGATCAGCTACCGCTCTGATGGACCAGCAAAGCCAAGTGAGAATCTAACCACCACTGACTGAGAACTTCATCTGTGAAGTTCTTTTGCTGTAATTTCAGTGGTTCTGTTTGTTCATGTATTTTTATGTCTCTGATCCCATGTTACAGATGGGATAGAAAGTGCTACCAAGATTTCCAAGAAAGTGTTGGAAGAAATTATGAAATACGAAACATTGATTTCAGCACATGAATCAACAGTTCGGTAAGCATTTTTTGTTTCAATTTGCTCTCCAAGACTGAGCTAGTGTTTACTCAATATTCCAAGCTTCAGTAGAAGAAATCTTTTTATTTTTTTCTACTTGTATCTAATTGACATGATGCCTGACCATCTTGAACACAGTGGAGATAAAAGTATTTAGGCAGTATGAGTCGTATTGGATTGTAATTGCTTTTTAATAATGATGTAGAAAAAAATAATCATGTGGGAGAAAGATGTTTTAGGTGTCTTCAAATGCTTTATGACTGTATTTACCAAAATGTTTCCCCTCACCCCCATTTGTCTTACAACGTAAATTCAAACTGATGGGAATATGGGTGTTGAAAATAAAATTCTTTTTATAAGAATGTCAACAAATGTGTGGTGAGGAATTTGTAAGCAGAGACATAGGAAGGATCTTGGCTGCAAAAGTAAATTATACTGAAGGCAGAGCAGAAAAAAATGTGTTTTAAGAGATAAGTTTAACAAACATTGTAAAGCTACCTGTTGATCATGGAACCTGCAATTACGTATTCTCCTCCCTTCTCTTGAAAGTAAGATGTCTCTGTTAACAACTTCCCAGGGATTCGTAGACTTTCTGAACATAGGGTCTCAGATACAGTTTTAGTTTCTTCCTCAATTTTTTTCCTAAATTTTTCTCAAAGTAGTATAAGAAATTGAGATAGATGGTGGCTGAGGAAAAGTGGCCCAGGAGGGATTTATCCTCTTTTTGATATCAGAGGGCTATTATTATTATTGTGATATTATTAGCGTTATGATTTGCATTATTATTGCCATCATTGAAGTTGAAGGAGACTACAGTGTAGAAATTTTCTAAGGCGCACTAGAGAAAAACGTGGTCAAATAGTTTGTCTATCCTGAACCTCAAAGAAAGAGATGACAGTCTATGTACTGTAGGTAGTTTTCTATCATTTCTGAATATGTACAAGCAACCCTGTGAGAAACAACAAAAGCAGGCTTGTTCACTTCCCCCAGCCTTTTTCTGAAGCTATGTAAATAGAAACACTAAGAAGAAAGGGAAAATGTCTGTTATTTTATTTTAGGTAAGGTAGTGCCCCAGATACTTTTCCTATGTAAGTTATAAGATTGAAGTCCATAAACAGATCCTCAGTAAATCCACAAGTGAAAAGGAATAATGCTTCAGCACATGTGAATTTCAGAACAGGGCCTTTCTTTCCCTAAGAATATTGTCCCAAGAATAATCACCAGAGGGTCTTCCTATTAATCAAGGTCATCACTTGTGTACCTCATTATCTGCTGCCCTTTATACAAAAGATACAATTCAGAAAGGCCACTTAACAATGATACTGTTTATTGGCAAGGACCCTGTTATATTCTTTTCCAAAAAGCTTAGAATTTTAATTCACCTCAATTTATTTATTAACGTCATTTTACACTTTTTCCAAGAATGGAGTAATTTATCAGGAAATAATTCTTGAGAAAATAAGGTGGTATTTTTAAAAGAATATACAAAATTATTCCTCTAAAAGGAATACTCGGTTATCTTATTATTTTGCTTATAGATTTTTGCAGGAAATATATAATTCAAATAATCAAAAAATCATCAACCTGAAACAGAAAGTGGTCCAACTGGAAGCAAAGTGTCAGGAACCTTGTCAAGATACAGTGAAAATACATGATACAACTGGGAAAGGTAAGTGAAAGTTTTATATTGGATTAAGTTCATCAAAGCAAATATAAAAAGTAAAGGAGATTGCATGTATTGGAATGTATACAAATACATTGGAAAATGTCTAGCTATTAAATCTAAACAGTCTGCTTAGACCTTTCTTGAGTAGCTAAAAAAAAATACTTTAAAGGAATAATCACGTGAGAAGTAAGAAAATACTTCTCAGGAAATGAATAGTTTACGACAAGTTAAAAATTTCATTTTCAAGGCTGGCACAGTCTTACCTGGATTTCAAACCACCACAAACATTTCTTCTTTTTCAGATTGTCAAGACATTGCCAATAAGGGGGCCAGAGAGAGTGGGCTTTACTTTATCAAACCTCTGAAAGCTAAGCAGCAGTTCTTAGTCTACTGTGAAATTGATGGGTCTGGAAATGGATGGACTGTGTTTCAGAAGGTATTTTTTCCCACAACAAATGTATTTAGTAGACACCTAATCGTTCTGCTATATGCCCGGTATGTTTCCAAGCACCTTGTGAACATTAACTCAATTAACACCCACAACTTCCCTTTGCGGTAGTTTTTGCCTTCTTATCCCTATTTACAGAGGAGGAAACAGGCACAAGAGGCTGAGCATCAATAACTTGCCCAAAGTCACATAACTAATAAGTAACAGAGTAAGGATATAGTCTGGTTTCAGTCTTGTGCTGTGACTCTCTACTATGCTGGCCCTGCTGTTGTAGATTCATGATGGCACATAATCACAATATCATAGTGACAAAGAACTCGAAGAGACCTCTCTTGACAGGTACATCAAGACCTAGGGCTGCCCATCACAAGAAGATGATGTCACCCAGAGGATACACTGAGGCTGTTCCAAGACCAGGACCCTCTATTGCCTTTGCCAGCTCCAGGCATCCGCAGCAAATCCTCTTGCATTGTTTACCTTTGACCACTGTTACAACTAATCCTGCAGGGGGCACTCAGAGCCAGCGAGTGATGTGAGCTCTGGCTGGTAGACACAGATTGAGCAATAGGTTGATCTTTCTACCATCAGTACAAGAATCAGCAATATCAAGCTGGTGTTCTGGAGTCTCCTAGGAGTCTTTTTAAAACTACTAGTTTTGGGCTTCCCTGGTGGCGCAGTGGTTGAGAGTCCGCCTGCTGATGCAGGAGCCTGCGCAGTGGGAGAGACCACAGCAGTGAGCGGCCCGCGTACGGCCAAAAAAAAAAAAAAAACTACTAGTTTTATAACTACTTGTAGTTATAGTACTTAAAACTACTACTAGTAGTTTTAAAACTACTAGTTTATAATTTATCATGTGCCAGTCGCTCTTTTAAGTACTTTTACATTCTCTGGTGTAATCCCTGCAACAACCCTAAGAAGTAAGCATCATTATTCCTACTTGATAGGTGAGAAAACTGAAGCAGCTAGCCCAGGGTCACTTAGTAAATGATGAAATCATACCCTCCATATTTTGGACAAAACGTTTATAATTTTTTTGTGTGTGCACTGATAATCCACTCTCTCCTTTTGCCCATACACTTGTGTAATTAGAGGCTTGATGGCAGTGTGGATTTCAAGAAAAACTGGATTCAATATAAAGAAGGGTTTGGACATCTGTCTCCTACTGGAAACACAGAATTTTGGCTGGGAAATGAGAAGATTCATTTGATAAGCACACAGTCTACCATCCCATATGTATTAAGAGTGCAGTTGGAGGATTGGAATGGCAGAACCAGGTACTATTCTAAAGGACTTTTAACTTTTTACCGTAGAGACAGTCTGGAGTATGCACTTTCCAGCTCTCAACAGAACAGTGGGGAAGACAGTCTGACAGATGCCAAGAGCACATCCAACTATGTTCCCCAGAAGTCAGTTTGGTTCTTGGGCAGTCCAAGTTGCTAGGTCCTATTTAGGCAGGATCTAAGTGTTCTGGTACAATCCACTTACCCTGGAACCGTACAAAATAATAGCTAGTATTTCCTGAGCATTTAATATGTACCATAAATTGAACATGAAATTATAATTTAATCTAATCCAAATAACTGTTTCATGAGGCAGGAACTACTATTAATCCCATTTTACAGATTAACATTTCCACGGTCGCATCGTTGGTATATGGTAAAGGTTGGATTTAAACTCAGGTAGTTTAACTCTACAACCCATCCTCTTAGTGATTATCCTTGTTGAAGAGTGAATCTAGCTTCTTCAGATTTCCCAGTGCTTTAATGACCATTCAGTCAGTCAAATCCAGGAGCTACTTTAAAATGAAGCCAGCTGGCTTCTTTGGTGAGCTAGAGCTGCATGGGCACTTTGAGTGCTGTATGCCTAATTAAAGTTAAAAACAATATCCAACCCTCTTGTTACGTCTATGGCATGATGAAATATAGTCTGTGCCCAAATATGTTTTTTTACTTTTTAAAGTTTTTAACCAGAAAGTATAATACCATAGTCAGTAGACCTCCTATGAGAACATCTCCTATATCCCAAGTCCTAGAAATCAGGGAAGCCAAATGTTTTCTGGAAATCTCTGTTCATGCACCAAAGCCCCTTCTTCCCTGAACTCCATAGAATTCTGGCCCTCATTCACAACTTTTTTTCCAGGGGAGAATCTCTCTCTGATCCTATAGCTCATGTTTTGTGGGCCATACAGGGAACTTCTTTTTTGTGATGCTTGAGGAAACCCTCCTTCTTGTCACTGCCACACTGCCTTGCAAAAGGAAAACCCCTTTAGGACTTCACACTTTAGATGGTATGAGTGGCTAATGGAACTGTAGCTCCTTCAAGTTTGCTGCATTGTTTGTCACTCACTGTCAGATAATGAATGTGGTTTATGAGAACTGTGTGTACATGCTACATACTGAGATAAAAGTGGAAAATACGAAATTAGTCAGGTTCATCCACATATCTGGGTTGGATATTAGGATCCTATAGGCAAAAAGCATTCAGATGGTGGAAGTTTTTAGTCTTCCTGGGACTAGAAGCCTTCCTTGAAGGCTTCTAGACCCATCCTGGGTGGTGCGGGTTCCCACATCCATTTTCCCTTGCCAGATTTGCAGAAAATTTTATTCAATGAGCACATTTCAGATTAAGAAGCAAAGTTTAAAATTCCAAACAATTGTCCTATGAAAGAGAGAACTTCTGAGATGCCTTCTGAGGCTCAGGGTCTAAGGTCTCTATTCCCTTCTTTGTAGTACTGCAGACTATGCTACGTTCAGGGTGAAAGGTGAAAGTGACAAATACCGCATGACATATGCCTACTTCATTGGTGGAGATGCTGGAGATGCATTTGATGGCTATGATTTTGGCGAGGATGGTAGTGACAAGTTTTTCACATCCCACAATGGCATGCAGTTCAGCACCTGGGACAATGACAATGATAAGTTTGAAGGCAACTGCGCTGAACAGGATGGATCTGGTTGGTGGATGAACAAATGTCATGCTGGCCACCTCAATGGAATTTATTACCAAGGTATGCCTTTCTTCCTTAGATGCATGAATTTGTGCATAGTTTATATTTTTATAAAAGGTAATAAACAAATATAAGGAAATGAATAAAGATATTGAGAGCTTAGTATATAGTTCTTTATTTTAAACCAGAATTGAATACTGCTAGCTTATACCTGAAATTGGTCCTTCTACAAGAAATCCAACTGCTGCAAACTATGCAGTGGTATTCATCGTGCCTCCATCAGAGTTGATGCTTTGGGTTATGGTGTTTCCTCTAGGCTTACCATATATATGATCTGGATGGACTAACATTACCATGTTTATGCTTGTTAACACAGTAGCTTGGTTCAGCTTCCCATGATCTATGTGTCAGATAGATCCAGTAAGCTGTGAGTAGGTGTCTGGAGGAATTAAGCAAAGAGCAGGGATGTATTGGTGAGGGCAGATGTCCATGAAATCTTAAGAGGAGAGGAGTCCAGCCTGAGGAGGGTAGACACTTATTTTAGGACAAGGGGAGGGCAAGCTATAGTTTGCTCTAAGACTGGAGTAGTTCTGAACACTGGTTTTACTTACTGACAAACTATTGTAACTACCCAACAGGTATGCATGGGGAAACCCTCATCCATTAAAATGAGCAATCTTCCCTCCTTAGGGCACTGTCCTAGCCAAGAGGTGACTTGGAATCCTCTTAAAAACTACTTAAACTTACCTTTTGGTTTTCACAATGTTTTTTTTTGAAACCTAACTTAGCTTTGCACCAACAAACCATGTAATTAGAAGAAGCTCTCAGGGAAGGTGCCTGATCCATATGATCCAGAGTAGCCGTGTTGATAGCTTGTGGTACCCTCCAGTACTAGACTCCGACAATCCCTTACAAAATCACATGAGATCTAATGTCCAGGAACGAGGTGAAAGCACTTCAGCCTAGCCTCCACTTTAAAATGGAGATGTAAAATAACATTCCAGAACTGAGCTCCTCATATTTTCCAGTAAAATTGTGTTTTTCAGATGACCTGAGATCATCTGATGAGGAATTATGACCTGTTTTCAGAAAGGTGGTCCATCATAGCTGAATCCAGGATGGCTAAACTTAGGGAGAGAGACCAACTGGGGAAATTTGGGGTTCTAAGCCTGTTAGCAGTGAATACATTTAAAGTATGGATGTGACCAGAAAGCACAACACAGCTGTAAGAGTTTGTTTAATAATAAGTTTATGTCAATTGTAAATGGAGAATTTAAGAGTCTTTAAGGATATTTTCAGTTAGTAGATAACACTATAAAATCTGATGTAAATGACAATGGACTTCATAATAGACAGTTCTTTATAGACTTTCTGAGGGAAAGAGATTCAAGAGCAGTGATATGTGCATCTACAATTTGTTTTAGGCGGCACTTACTCAAAAACATCTACTACTAATGGTTATGATAATGGCATTATTTGGGCCACTTGGAAATCCCGGTGGTATTCAATGAAGAAAACCACCATGAAATTAATCCCATATAACAGAATCGCCATTGGAGAAGGACAGCAACACCACCTTGGGGGAGCCAAACAGGTCAGACCAGAACACCATGTTGAAATAGAATATGACTAAGTCATTTTACCCTGAGGATTAGATGTTCGTTTCTATTCACCCACAAAGTTTCAGAAACTTTTATGAAATTTTCTTCCCATTTTCTCTTACTGTATTTATTAATTTTAAGTCTTTTATTAAGAATAGTTAGCCTTGAATGGCAATTAAAACTCACTTTGGACTGTATTCCCAAATGACTGAATGCAGAATTATTTAAAATTTGTTTATTTAATGAGATAATAATATTTTAGCTTATTTCCTGAAGATGTAATAAAATCATTGTGATAGTTTGCATTTTAATGATCACACGTCATTGTGTCTTGGTGATTTTTAAAATTATTTCTTAAATAGTTTAGTATATACTAATATAATAGGAGCAAACTCTAGCATTTCAAATGACTAAGTATTTTTTCCATATTTATTACCCCTAAATCATTCATATTTAATTATTCTTTTTAAATGGAGATAATTATATCTTTTTAATATATTTTTTGTTTTGGTCATAGGCTGGAGATGTATAAAAGACCGTTTCAAAGGTGATTTACTTATGAAATGACTCTATCTAAAAAGAAAAATATAATATTTTTCCTATGGGACAGTGGACTTGCAAAGCCTCACTTCATTTTAAGAGTAATAAGAACCCATGCTGAAAACTCCACTAACAGTTTTATGCTGTTTGTAATTTATCTATACACCATTTCAATAAACATTTTGTTTCCTAAGACTAGATACATGGTACATTTTATTGACCTAAAAGCCATCACTTTCCTTCAATTTAATAATTACAGTTGGACAATCATCAGTAGTTGCTCAGTGTTCACTTTATCCTAAACATTGTACCTGACTCTTGGGAAGTTATGAAGGAAATAGAAAGTATGGCTTTTGCCCTCCAGGGGTTATAAGCCAAATACAGAAAAATACAGTAACCCAAAATGACAAAATTTGATATAAAAACATAAGCACATGTCACAATCACATAACTCAGGTTCATAGTACCCCAGTGCAGCTGAAGACGTAAGGCTGTTTGGGGATTCTCCCAGTAAATCCTTTTAGCTCCGGGCTCCTGTGGCCATATGTGGGCACTTGGAGAGGATTATAACTCAGAACAGAGAGATCCAGGGAACAATCTGCTCAGCCCCTCACTGTTGAATAAGTTGAGCAGAATGGAGCCATTATTGCAGTAGCCAGAGATCAGGAATCGCTAACTTTCTGTAAGGAATAGCTGCATTTACATTAGTTGGCATAAGGTTGAACATGAAAAGTAATTGACTAATTTTATGGGGTCATGGGGGGATGTCTGGTTGTTCTGAAGTCCTGAGCATTGGCTTTGGATTCTCTTCCTTTTCACAATTTCTTTCCTAATTCTTTCGCTTCCTTGTTCTCATAAGTCCTGATTTTAAAAGCATCCTATTGAGGAGATAAAAACCAGTTAAGTAAACTTCTAGGTATACAGCCAAATACTTGTGAGGCTTTGGGAAAATATGAACATTGATTCATTGTCTGTAGCACTCATTCATTCATGTATGCATGAGGCATCCATTCAGCTAACATTTATTGACTTCCTTCATTGTACTAGCCCCTGTGCTGGGTATATATCACATAGTAGCATCCTCCTTTCTCCCAGTACTGTTCTATCCCGTCCAGTTCTCAAGTTCCAAAAAACCAGCAATAAGTCTCCCTTATTCTTCCCTCCCCATATCCTCAAGCCTGTCAAATCCACCTCCTAAATATTTATTATATTCATTTCCTTCTCTATGCCAACTGCCACCGTTCTAGTTGGGATATATATCTCTTGCCAGGATAATGGCAAATGCCTCCTTCCTGTTTTCCATCTTGCTTCCAGCCTTACCTGTTCCCACCTCATCATGCTCCAAACCACTTCTAAATTCAGAATGCATATATTCTACCCTTTGAGAATCTATAAAATCCTTCAGGTGAGCAATTTGGTCATAGACAGGACGAGTTATGTAAATATTCATAAGTTTAAATGCAATAATATCCCTCTAGTGATTTATCCCAAGAAAATTATTTTTGAAAAAGAAAATAGCTCTTTATAGAAATATAGATAATATTTAAATATTAAATAAATATTTAATTACAGTGGGAAATTTAGAAAATATTTAACAGTGGAAAAATGGACAAGCAAGGTGGTTTATTAGTACAATGGAAGAGAATGCAATGATTACATAATAAGTATAATATCTCTGTATGAGCATAGAGACATTTACTAAATAATATGTGAAATTTTAAGATGAAAAACAATTCTACAATGAGTATGTAAAAGTATATATGCATATACTTTTGAACAAAATGTAACCTTGACATGCATGCATTATTTGTATGTATTTGTTTTCCCCAATCGATTTATAAAATTTAATAAAAATACTAAACAAAATAAATATAAACAAGTCCAAAAGTTTCTTATTTTTCCCATGACCACTTTTCCAATACTTCTTCTGAAATATCATTATAACATTCTTTCATAAACATTTTGGAGGTCCCTGTTTTTGTGAGTGTCCAGAGTACATATATGGTCTGCATGCTGGGTAATTCAGGATTGATTAGTGGGAAGGGGCTTCTAACTTTCTCCTTCTATACCTCTGCATTGTTTGATTTGTTATAATGAGTACGTTGTTAGTTTTGTAGTTAATTTAAAACCCAATTAGGTAGAGATAAAAAGGTGAATTTCAAATTTTTACTTGTTTAGTTATTAATATTCAATGGTGAACATTGAAGGGTTGTAGCTTAAGAAATGAAGCAAGATATGTACTTCCACACTCAATTGGATCATGTCTCCACAAATAAAATAGAAATGAAAGGATTATCTTGACAAATCAACTTTTAAAAATTTACTTTTAAGTGAAACAAAGAGTTTGGAGCCTCCTAGCGACAGATTACTTTTCTGCACAGCTCAAATCACAGATAACTAATACCCAACCCTTCCCTTCACTTTCTGGGCACACAAAACTCAGGTCACTGCAAAATAGGACGGCTAGGTACAAAACAGATGTGCATGGTCACACACTTTGAAAAACCCACAGAGGGAAGTTTCCAAAAATAAGGGTACTGGTACAGATGCACCGATACTATGACTTCAGGTCATGAACTACAGGGCAGAGTTCTTTAATCAGCAGACAGGAACAGTCATTTATTGGACAATATCAAGATTTTTAAATATACCTCTGAAGTGCTATAGCTTTTTTTCAATTCTTTGTTATGTTTAGTAGTTTGGTTTTAAAGATCATGTTTCAGATTTGTGGGTAGGCTGAAAGTGAGTGGGAAGTGAAAACATGTAAGTATAGACAGCATATTTGAGAACTTACAAGGTCTGAAGTTCTTAACTCTGAACAGTATAAACTAAGCCAAGTTATACATAGTAGATATCTTTGTAGATATAAATTCAGGTGATTGGAGTGAAAAACAAAATGCACATTTAACCCTGGGGAAAATTAATCTACTGATGATTTCTCATCAGTTTGATGTAGCTCAAAAAGAATGGGGAAAAAAAGAGTTAAGGATAGTAAGATGAGTTAAAGTAGATGGAAAATACTAAGTTGATGATAAAGAGACCAAGAGTGTGGGAAAGACTGTTTCATATACCTTTCCCGTGTGTGTGTGTGTGTGTGTGTGTGTGTGTGAGTGTGTGTCCCCCAGAGACAGAAGTTAAATTAGTCATACTTCTGGCACACCATTCACATTCATATGTGCTGGGCCACTCTGATTCTTTCCTTTAATCCCTTAATAATCAACCATTGTGATAGATTGGATGCATGTTTATTTGTACATATTCTTATAAATCATTGGTTGTTTGTGCTATGTATTTTTAAATTATATAAATGGCATCGTGCTATACATCAGTATTTCTCAGAATGCTGATCCACAAATTTTTTGTTAGTCGGCATTATAAGTAAAAAAATTGAGAATTAACATGTAGAAACATTTTTCCTATATTATGCACGTGATGATTGTATTTATTCGAATGTAATTATATGTCTTTGGAATCTAATAATTAAAAAATTGGCCTATTTTTTTGCTTTTTTACATTTTATTTTACTAGAAATTATTTTTATTGCATTTTATAAGCTAATAGGTCTGTGACTGATTAGAAATTTAATAAAACTGGTCGTTTAGAACAAACACTTTGAGAAACACTACTAAGGTCTTCATTGTATTTATTACTTTTTCCATTCAGCACCATTAAGATCTACCCACAATCTGAGTATTTTGTAACTTCCTGTGATCTCCTTTTGAACTGAAGACTTAAAAAGTGAATATAATTTGGTTCCAAAGCTTGTGCTTTTTAAAACTGTATTTTTAATTAACATCTAAGTTCATTTCATTATGGTCAAAGAACATAATTTTGATGATACTGATTCTTGAGAGACAGTTCAAAAATTACTTTGGGACATAGGAATTATCAGAGAATTAATTGGCCCTATAAAAGTGTACATAAATCATAACCACTCTCCAATAATGACCTGCATCCAATAAGAGTATTAATATATTTTTTTCCTTTAAGAAGGAAAATGAACTAAAGGTAGATAGTGATTGGCCTTGTAAACATGAGCTTTGGCCCAAATGGCCTTGTAGCCATGGCCCGTTGTGAGCATCGATAATAGGTTTGACCACTGACTTGTAGAACACACCTTTGTTGCAGGTTTGAAAGCCTTTTGGGAAGGCTAGCTGGTGAAATTTCAAGCTCTTGTTCATCTCAGTTTCATTGGGAAATATTTGAAAGTCCAAATGGATAAATTCAGTTCATGACAGTTAATCAGATCTTCAACTGGCTCAAAACTGTCTTTTCCAAATCCCAAATCCAGTATTCTTGACCCTCTCTCCCATTTCCCAGATCTTCACCCAGGTTTGCTTCTGCTGTTAACTTAAAAGCATGAAGTAACCTGAGGTAGATGGGAATCCTTCCTGAATAAATCTGAATGTTGACTCTCCCTAAATAAACAGAGTAGGGCAGATTCCATTCTGTGATGAAAGTGGCCTCAGGGACAAATAGGTAAAGTGTGACTTTTAGAAAAAAAATCATCTAACATTTAAGAGACCTTGGACTGGAAATGTTTTCCTTCCTAAATCGCTCTTTTTATATCACAAAGCTGTGGGAAGTGTCAAATGAGATTACATGTGAAATTGCTCCAGAGACAAAAACAAAACTGAATTGTTTTTTGCTGTTGAGATTGGTATTGCTGCATGAGATTTGAATCTAATGTCAGTTAAGTTTGGAAACATCATTTTAAAACTTTAATTTTTTGGCTTTTATATTGTAATAAATTTTAAATTTCAGAATACATTTTAATTTGCAGAAAAGAAGATACAGAGAGTTCCCTACCCCTGTCACCCAGTTTCTCTAATGTTAACATCTGACATTACCATGGCTCATTTGTCAAAACTTAAGAAACCAACCCTAGTAGTCACTCTTTTCTAGCTTCCATGCTTTATACAGATTTCATCAATTTTTACACTAATGTCCTTTTTCTGTTCCAGGATCCCATCCAGGATACATTACATTTAGTTGTCATATTTCCTTAGTCAGCTTTGGTAACAATTTCTTAGTCTTTCCCTGTTGTTCATGAACTTGACTGTTTAGAGTATATTCTGGTGGACTGGTCAAGTATGTGTAAAATGTCCCTCAGTTTGGGTTTCTGCTCTGTTATGCTCAATAATTTTTGTTGAATTTTATCTAAGCAAAATTTTACCAAAATGCCTTCTTTAAATGGCCTTGGTTTTACTATAGAATGGTCAGTTAAAAATAGGTTTCAAGAAGAATCACAGAGAATTAAATGGATCTCGATAATTAAATTACCCCATAATTTTCATATAATTCCTTGCTGTGGAAAGTCTAAATACCTCACAGATACTATTTCCCCAGATCTCAATGCATCCCTATTAAATAAATACCAACTGATAGATCATGTTTGCTAATCTTTAATAGAAGAACCACAATGAAATCGGCAGTGTGCCAAATTAAATGGATTTAAGCTGTATGATGGTGGAATGAATTCATGTTGTTGATATTAATACATCACTTGATTATTCATCTGCATAATGGTTTTACATTTCAAAAAAGGATTTATGCTTTAACACACATTCAACAAAGAATTTGATAATTCCAGTAAAATTTAGTAAAGCACATTATAAGTAAAATTGATCTATCTTGAAAAATGAATTATTTAATTGATAATGCATTTAAGAAAAAGGAAGTAAAGCGGTGGCAAAAACTCAGGGACCTCACCTTCACCTCTCTTTCTCTCATACACACTCATCACACATACATACATACGTCACACACACACATAAAGACTTAGTGGAAACTTGATTAAAAGTTCTTAAGTAGGGGCTTCCCTGGTGGCGCAGTGGTTGAGAGTCTGCCTGCCGATGCAGGGGACACGGGTTCATGCCCAGGTCCGGAAAGATCCCACATGCCGCGGAGCGGCTGGGCCCGTGAGCCATGGCCGCTGAGCCAGCGCGTCCGGAGCCTGTGCTCCGCAACGGGAGAGGCCACAACAGTGAGAGGCCCGCGTACCGCAAAAAAAAAAAAACAGTGCTTAAGTAAAAGACCATGAAAATCATGCATAAAAACAAAATAGAGGATGATCATTCTATTATTGGAACATTACAGAATTTAATTCCAAAAATGTTAAAAAATTATTCAATTAAAAGGCTACTCGTCCTGGAACAGTTTAATTACAAGAAATAAAGTAGATTTCTTTCCTGAATAAAGAGATTAAAGAGAAATGCAGTGTGATAGAATCAGGAACCATCAAGAAAACCTCTTTTGTTCCTTCCTCATTTTCATAAGTGTAGTTCAGAATTATTTCTGTGTATTTAAGGAAATTCCCAACTTCTTTCTACAGCTATAACTTCCAGGAAAACCATCTGCAGTCAGAGTACTGATGAGTTCTGAAAGTAAAAGTCCCATTAGTTCCTCTCAGATCAATCATCATACTATCCCATTCACCTTTCACAGTAAGCAGATTGGTTAAAAACAAATTTCTGTAATACTCTTGAAATGCAGGAGACAAGGAGAGAAAATAATATACACAAAGCTAAGGAGCCTTGCCAGTGTTTTCCAGTAAATCTTTTATAGATCTGTCACTGTTGTCCAAACCTGAGGCAGAGGCCCTGAAAGAGTAGTAGAAGTGCCAGAACCGCCTATATTTTTATAATTCAGGCATTTCAAAATTTAGAAATTAATTCTGGTACTTTCCAGTTGTACACTTAATATCATTTTAACAAAATATTTCCTGTCAAGGTACCATTATCTTCTTGTTATTAGGAGAATAATAAATTTATAGATTCATACAGATTTTTATGCTAAAAGACTTACAATTAGTATTTTTTCAAAAGCATCTTTCATTTTTAGGCTTGAATTAAATCTGATAATTTAAGGAACATTTTACACAAAATGTGACAGAAAACAATGCAGAAACAATATTTCAGCCTCTACTCTGTGCTCTAAAAGTACTCTGAACTTACCTCATGGAATTTTTTTCATTGTTTTATATCAGATTAAACCATATGAAATTGCAGACATTCATCATTTTGATCTACAAAAATGGCAATTTTATATGGTTTAACTTCTTAGCTGCACATGTATTTATTTGCTCCCCAATTGTAAGCAACTTGAATGTACAAGTCTATACATTATTTGCCTTTCTATCTCAAGAACACGGCATGCAGGACTGACAAATAGTAGACATACAATAAATGTTTGTTATAGTCAAACGAATGAATAAGTAAGTGAACTGTCCTCAGAATTCAGTACATTTAAAATAAATTGGTAAAGAAAGGGATGTTCTTTTACTTTCCTGGGATGTAGCCCCCAGAAGGACAAATACCCCATTCAAAAGAAAGCTGAGGATTGTTTTATTTTATTTTGTTTTGCTTGTATTTTATTGTTTTCGGTTTTTTTTTTTTTTTTTGCGGTACGCGGGCCTCTCACTGTTGTGGCCTCTCCCGTTGCGGAGCTCAGGCTCCGGGCGCGCAGGCTCAGCGGCCATGGCTCACGGGCCCAGCCGCTCCACGGCATGTGGGATCTTCCCGTACCTGGGCACGAACCCGTGTGCCCTGCATCGGCAGGCGGACTCTCAACCACTGCGCCACCAGGGAAGCCCTAATTTTGCTTGTATTTTAAAGTTATGCTTACACAGTGGCAAATATTTAAATGACTGGATCTGTATTTTACTCTCATGTATAAATGTTGGTGTGTAGATACAGTTTAAAAGTGAAACATAATTACAGCTATAGAATTTCTATTCTTTTTACATACATTATACATCACACAAATAAAATCTATTCCAGTGCTGCCTGATGTGATGGCATAACAAATATGTGAATCCCTGAGTTTAAATACTTATAATTAGTGAGAAATTATATTAATTTCAAAGGATAAATGAATGAAACATTCCTCTCATTAGAGCTAAGGAAAATAGGATATAGTCATCTGTGGGAAAAATGCAATACACAGTGGTTTTGGTCTAAGAAACTGGAAATTTCTTAATTTTTTCCCACTTTTATACTTGTAAAGTTATCCTTATTGTCACATGCTTTTAAACAATGATACTCCTATATATTGTGCAACACAGGAATATAGCCAATATTTTATAATAAGTGTAAATGAACTATAATCTTTAAAAATTGTGAATCACTATGTTGTATACCTGAAACTTATATAATATTGTTCATCAACTATACCTCAATAAAAAAATGGTATTCCTTGCATTATTTGTTGCCTATTCACCTGCATGGCTTTCTGTCTAAACAAAACCTACTTCTCCATAGCTGATAATAAGGCTTGCTTGTGAGGTAAAGAGCCCAGCCTGGTGCTCACTCCTGCAGTGCTAGGCCCAAAGAGAGCCGCAAAGGTGCCTGGTTAGGGAATTGTGGCACTGGAGAGATAACATAGGAACTTTTTATTTAGGGACATTGGAACATTCTAGGAGCCATTTCTGGAGCTTGTAATGTGTATGTCGAACATGTTACATAGTGTCACATTTTATGTAATCCTCACAACACTTCAAGATAAATATTGTCATCTCTACACTGCAAGATAATTATTGTCACCTCTATCTTACAGATAAACAAGCTGGTTCAGAGAATTTTATTTGTCCGTGTCACTCAGCTGGTGTGCAGATCTCACTCTCTCCAGAGCCCCCTGTCCTTCCAGCACTGTGCTGCCACTGCTGCAGCCTTCCATCACTCCAACAAATGCTCACTGGGACTCACCCTATGTCTGGCGTTGTGCTAGACAGTGTGACTCGGCTTCAGGAAACTTAGTGTGGAAGAGACAAAAAATAAACAAAGAACTTTCCCATATATACTGTCCAGTAGTGATAAAGTAAAATGAGTGAAAACCAACTCAGGTTGGGTGGTCAAAGGAAGCATTTCTGAAGAGGTGCTATCTGAGCAGAGCCCTGGATGAAGTAAGGGAATGAGACACGCAGATACTTGAAGGAGCCATGGAACAGCAAGGATGGTGCCACAGGTGGTACCTTGGAAAAGCCCAGACGTGGCACCAGAATGCTGGCATTCAGTCACACTGGTTTCTGTTAACTTACTTTCAATCAGATTATGTCCAGCCAAGTCAACTGAAGCTCACCAGATTACTGTCTGGGAACTTCTTCCATATACCATGTTTACCCCTAAGAAAGGCACTTCTTGTGGACAGAGGAAAACATCTGGGGAAGTCAGTCTCGGATCCTATACATTCCTGGCATTTTTCTAGTTCAACCACTGTGGACAAGTGTAACCCAGCTTTCCATGGAGTCATTGCCCTTCATAACCTGGATAAGACTCTGAGCTCTGAAGCTGCTTCAAATAAGCCACATCAGAGGTGAGCTTGATCAGACAAAGAACCTTCCATGGAGCAAGCAGTGTAGGAGGGTGCTGCCTTGTACCAGCGCTCTCACCCATTTACAGCAAGCTTCACATGCCCGCAGAGCCAGAGACAGGGCTCAATTTCACAACAGTGGAACCCGCTCATGCTTTCTTGCTCAATGAAGCCCCACACCTTTTGGGGAGAATATAAAGACCATTAAAACATGTCAGTTCTCAAGTTTATGATCTAGTGGAAGAGATGGACAATGTTCCTGCAGTAATAAATGTCATGAGTGGTACATGGTCTAAGGAAATATGAAAGAACAAGAGATTGCTTTCAATTGGAGACATGAAATCAGGTACTATGTAAAGTGTCCAACAAAGTCCCCAGCACTTAGTAAACACTCGATAAATTTTGGCTGTTATACTATGATCAGGATTGGCTTCACATAGGAAGAAACATTTGAGACAAGGTAGGATTGGCAGTCATATTACAGGATGCCCATTTAAATATGCATTTCAGATAAACAACAGCAACACATTTTTAGTATGAATACGTCTGAATATTGCATGGGACAAACTTACACTAAAATATATTTGCTGTGTATCTGACATTCAAATTTAACTAGGCATCCTGGTTTTTTATTTGCTAAATCTGACAACTCTTAGACAAGAAAATTTGATATGGAGATGAAAATCGGGGAAAATAAATTAGCATGTCCAAAGGTACAGAAACTGGAAAGAAATAATAATTGTTATTGGAGAACATAAAGTGCCATGAAAATACTATTTCTTTCCAGTTTCTGTACCTTTGGATATGTGGCAATCTGAGGGCTTTACAAGGATCAACTCATTTATTCTTCATAAAAACATGTGTGATATCCCCATTTTAAAAATGAGGAATCTGGGGTATAAAGAGGTAAAGTAATTTGTCCAAAAGCGGAGCTGGGAATGGTGTAGCTGGAAGTATGAACCTAGAATGTTTGGCTCCAGGGGCTGCTTGTTTTAACCATTCTGGATAGAGGAAGCTTATCGAAGGCCTTCAGGATCAGCTCATCACCACAGTCAGTCAAAAGTCAGATCAACCAACCATAAGTGAAATCTCAGTTGTTAGATCTCTGCTGGCGGGCTACAGCTAGCCTGCCTCCACCACCCTCTATATTCTTTCAAGTACTCGAGTAGAGATAGGTCCTCCCATGTTCCCCTTTGCATTCCCAAAGTCACCCTGTTCCTGGAATGTGGGATCTTCCACGAAATGGGCTACCTTTGCAACAGCTTATCTGAAGCAAACAAGCTTAGGGAATTGAGCAAGAACTTCTGGGACACCAACTTTACAGAAGGAGCAAGGGATGCGGGGTGCATGTTGACTGTGTCAACGGGACAAAGATAATGATTAATCAGACCTCCTGCAGACTTAAATGGGATGGGAACTCGGCGTGGAGGCAGTCCTCCTTTCTTTCAGCTGGAGTGCTCCTCTTGAGCCAGTCCCACCCACGGCAGAGATGGTTTCTGTGAGGGTCCTCTTCCTGGTCCTGAGTGTGATGGGTGCAGTTCAGGTATGGCCTTCTTTATTTCCTCTTCTCTTTCTCTCTGGTGTTTATTCCACAAAGAGCTTGCAGGTCTGAGTCAGCCATGTGTACGTCCTCACACACTGTTAGCTTTATAAGCTGTAGCCAGTGGAGGCAAGTCCCTAGATGGGCTTGACACCTCAAGAATACAGGGTAATATCACCCTCAGAGGGAGACTTAGTGGGACCAAAGCGTATAAATTCACAGGGGAATCTTCGACACCTATAGCTTGGTCTTACATTGGATTTTTTCAAAGAGAAGAAATTTTTGCCACCTTTGTTGCTGTAAAGCCTTGGGATTGCTAGTTAACAGAACAGAACATTCTTATGATAATAGTTTTTAACCTAGTTATTATTTTATTGCTATTTGTCCATAATAAGCAGAACAGTGGTTTAATGTAGCTTTTCTGAAAGGTTGTTTTTGTGTTTCTTTAAGACAAATAAGAAGCAAATTAGTTATCTTTGAAAACATATTACATAGCAAAATTGGAAGAGATTAATTGATAGGCAACACGTTTTTTGGAAGCAATTGTATTCTTTTAAGATAATTACAAATATTGCAATAATTCCTAAAGTTTGACTCCAGAGACCTATGCAAAAGAAGAGAAACTTCATTCAACAAGAGTTTTCAACTTCTATCTTATAAAAACATGGTAAATATGTTCCAAAATCTCAGTTACTTCCAGACTGTGAATTATTCTGTTTTATTTCTTTTCCTTTATTGCTCATAAACCCTAATACCAGAGCAGAAGAAACTAAAGAGTGTTTCTAACATAATTTTCTCCCTTATACAAATAATAAGTAAACTTTTTTATGGGAAACAAGACTAACACCATTTGTTAAGGTTATACTTTGCATAATGCATGTTTCATTTATTTCTCCCTTATTGGTATAAATATTTAATTTTTGCCTGTTTTTATTTTTGTGCCACTTTTTCCAATGTATGTTTGAATTTATGATTTTATTTCTTAGATGAAAAGATTGTACTTGTTCATTTAAATAAGTTATTCTTGAGTTAATATTACTATTATTGGGGTATTTTTTTGAATGAGACAGAAAATGTTAACTAATTATAAGAATAAACTACTGAGATTGATAGTCATAAAAATCCTTGTAACTTGGTGGTACAAAATAAAAATAACTAAAACCTAAAACCAACATTGATTTCTTAGGATATAACATCTTGTTGGAAGAATATCTATATATCCTATTTCACTTGATCACAACAGAAATTTTTTTTTAAAATCTGTATTTCTAATTATAAGGTGTTCCAAAAAATGTATCTTTCATGGACCTTTTTTTATTTTTTTGCTCTCAGTGTACTTTTTTTCATTTCAAATAAAAATAAATTATTATGTGAGTAACCCAAAAAGCATTTCTAAGTCTGAATTGGCTACATTTGTGTCCTTGTATATACTTGCTCAAATTATAGACCCATAAGGTCATTGTGGTAGATACTTGAAGGAGAGACAGACCTGAAGCTAAGATGGTGTAGGTTTTTTCCTACTAAAACAGGAGTTAGAGGAGAAAGAACTGAGTTTTTCCATTATTTTTCTATCTCCAGACGTGAATGAAAATGTAAAGGCAGTTTTTAACTAAGCTTGTTGATTCAAATAATTTTCCTTTTATAATGGATCCTTTAAAGCTCCTAACATTTATTAAATGCTTGTTTAGTGTAGAACACAGTTGAGATTTGTACGCTCATCTCCTTTAGTCTCACAACTCCACGAAATAGGCATTAGGATTTTCATTTCAAAGAAAAGAAACCTGAAACTTGCAGAGCCCCTTGGATCCCTTGCTTGGGATTTACAGGCATGCCAGCATCTCCTCCTTATCTGCTTAAAGACCTCTTTTGTGTGTTTATGAATCCTTAAAGGCGGCAGATCCCAGTGAAGGTGAATTTATCGCCGAAGGAGGAGCTGTGCGTGGCCCAAGGCTCGTGGAAAAACACCAGTCTGCCTGCAAAGAGTCGGACTGGCCCTTCTGCTCTGATGAAGACTGGGTGAGCCGTGGGCACAGGGAGTGGAGCAGGACAGTCCTTTCCTGTGCTACTGGCAGCTCACACAGGCTGACACTTTAGGTCACAAAAAACTTGTCCAGTGGGAAATAATCTAATAGCTCCTTACATATCAAATTAAAGAAGACAGATGGAAAGGAACCTAGTCCTGAGAGCACTGTTTAAATTACCTCTGAGACTCTGGGTCATTGGTTGGATTAACAGATTGGATTTTAGTTGTACGTTCAGGCAAATACTAGGAACCTGAGTATTATGACCTCTGGATTTCATGGGTTCTAATTTATGGTTAAGTGGACCCCCATTCCAGAATTTCTTTAAGATCTCTGACTAGCCCTCTTAAACTACGTTTAGGTCAAGAGATGATCTGAAGAGACTGGGGAGGGGAGAAGTGGGGGCTCATAGAAACCTTCAAATTTATACTGGATCAGAGAGATAGACTCTTTTATTAATTTATTTTTTAAAATTTTATTGAAATATAGTTGATTTACAATGTTGTGTTAATTTCTAGTGTATAGCAAAGTGACTCAGTTTTATATATATATATTCTTTTTCATATCCTTTTCCATTATGGTTTATCCCAGGATATTGAATATAGTTCCCTGGGCTATACAGTAGGACCTTGCTGTTTATCCATCCTACATATACTAGTTTGCATCTGCTAATCCCAAACTCCCAATCCTCCCCCCGACCCTCCCTCCTGCTTGGCACCCATAAGTCTGTTTCCAAGAGATAGACTCTTAATGTAATTTTTCCTTTTCATTCCAGAACTACAAATGCCCTTCTGGCTGCAGGATGAAAGGATTGATTGAGGAAGTCAATCAAGATTTTACAAACAGAATAAATAAACTAAAAAATTCACTATTTGATTATCAGAAGAACAATAAGGACTCTAACACATTGACCAGGAACATAATCGATATTTTGAGAGGGGATTTTGCCAATTCTAAGAGTAAGTATTACAGTTAGTGCTTTGACTTTATAGCACACAACCAAAACAACAAGAATCAGAAGTAGATATGACGTCTCCTTATTACAACTGTGATTTTATTCCAAAGTACTTTATGCAGAAAAATATACCTTTACGATATCCCTGAATTTTAAGGAAGGGGCTTGTTTTTGTTATTTATATCATGTAAAGGAGGTTGGTTTAGAATTGCTTTAAGGTCACAAAGTAAGTCAGCATTTTGGACCAAAGACTAGAATTTAGGTGTGTTCTTTTTTAAGAGTATACATGGAAAATAAGATGAGCCCAAACTTTTGAGTAGATACTTCTGTTTCTGTCTAACAAAGGAGGAAACTGAGAGGTCAGGGGACTTTCTCAAAGGCCAAAGGCACAAAGCTCTCATGCGGTGGGGCTGGGAGTGCAACCCACAGACTCCACCTAGCTTATTATGAAGTGTTTTGCTTTGTTTTGTTTTGTTTAATTTAAAATATAGAGCCATGTTGTCTCTTTCTCATAGGCTTAGGACTAAGTCTCATTAGGACTAGGAAACTCTGGGCTCACTCTGGACATGGGCAGTGAGTTTAGTAAGGCCTCAGCTCCTGAAACCTTGCCTTGACTCTTTATATCCTTGGGAGGCACATGGCTAATTTAAAGTTGATGGTGCAAGAGCAACTGGCAAGTGCATGATCTTGTTGACCTAAAAAAAGCTTAGGAACAATTTCAAATCTATAACTGTGAAGAAAACCTTTTCAGTAAGAAAATCCAAGAATACATTCACGTCCCTTGATTAAGGATATAATGAAATAATTGGAATGTAATCAAACTGATTATTTTATCTCAATTATGCCTTTAAAATTTCAGAGTTCTTGTCTTCTGCATTTATTTGGATTACTAATAAGGCATCTTAAGTGATATCCATGGATGACTGAAGGATATTGTCCAAATATCAAACGCCTAATAGATTTAGAAATCCCAAATTAAACGTCCAAACTATTATAGAAGTAAAATGGGGAACATCCATAAGCAAATTTCCTTCTTTTGCTGGCTATTACAAGCAAATCACTCAGCAGCTACTTCAGTACCCATATTTGCTATTTCAGACAATGAAAATACATTTAGCCAAGTGTCAGAAGATCTGAGAAGCAGAATTGAGATCCTGAAGCGCAAAGTTATAGAACAAGTACAGCATATCCACCTTCTGCAGAAAAATGTCAGGGATCAGCTGATAGATATGAAACGACTGGAGGTGAGTAATTATGTGGCTCTGACCCCAGATTTCTTTGTTTTTGAATAGCAGGGAAAGGAAGGCAATAGTCATTCATTAAATGCCTACTCTATGTAAAGCAATGTGTTATAGCCATCATCTACCTACAAAGTAAGTATTATTTCCCCCACTCTACAGATGAAGAAAAAATCTCAGTGCTAGTAAGTAAAATTTCCAAGGGCACGTAAAATGGTAAAGTTCAAAAGCAAAAACTCAGTCCTTGAATCTTATTCCAGCCCCTGCTTGTCCCTGACATCACTGTGTCTCTGAGTCTTCAGCCTCAGTCTCACAGAGGATCACATCATCAGTGCCTCCTCTCAGAGGGAATAGCACTTTGCTCTTGATCTATTCTAAGATAAATCCAGATGCTCCTATTGCTTATCCTGACCAGCCTTAGAATACCCAACCTCTCTTTCACTGAGGATACTACATAAATTAAGTATTGGTTGGTAGGTCTCCAAGTCAACGAAATGAAAACAGTTTCCAAAAATTAAATTAACTACTAAGAACTCAATAGACCTAGTTTATTATAGCTACCTTTTTTCTTTATCTTCCCCTCCCCCTCTAGGTGGACATTGATATTAAGATCCGATCTTGCAAAGGCTCATGCAATAGGGCTTTAGATCATAAAGTAGATCTGGAGGACTATAAAGATCAGCAGAAGCAACTTGAACAGGTTACTGCCATAGACTTACTTCCCTCTAGAGACAGTCAATATTTACCACTGATAAAAATGAGGCCAGTTCCAGGCCCAATTCCCAGAGAGTTCAAGAGCCAGCTTCAGGAGGCCCCTCCAGAGTGGAAGGCACTGCTGGACACGCAGCAGATGAAAATGGAGTTAGAGAGGTTTGGTGGAGATGGGCAAGCCAGAGGAGACTCTGCATCTCATGTAACAGGATCAGCATCAGAAAGCCCCAGGAAGCCTGGAACTAGTAGTATTGGAAATGTGAGCCCTGGGATCTATGGATCTGGAGGTGCTGGCACTTGGAACACTGGCCATCCTGATCCCGGCAGCGCGGGCACTTGGAACATTGGACGCCCTGAGCCCGGAAGTGCTGGCACGTGGAACACTGGCCATCCTGATCCCGGAAGTGCGGGCACTTGGAACATTGGACGCCCTGAGCCCGGAAGTGCTGGCACGTGGAACACTGGCCATCCTGATCCCGGAAGCGCTGGCACTTGGAACACTGGCCATCCTGATCCCGGAAGTGCTGGCACTTGGAACACTGGAAGTTCTGTGTCTGCAAGTTTTAGGCCAGATAGCTCAGGGCATGGGAACATCAGGCCTTCCAACCCAGACTGGGGCACATTTGAAGAGGTGTCAGGAAATGTAAGTCCAGGGACAAAGAAAGAACTTCACACAGGTAAACTGGTCACTACTAAAGGAGATAAAGAGCTTCTGATTGGTAGTGAGAAGACCTCTGCTCACACAACCACCACTCGTCGTTCATGCTCTAAAATCGTCACAAGGACTATTACACATGCCGATGGTCGCACAGAAATGACCAAAGAAGTGGTAAACTCCGAAGACGGCTCTGACTGTACTGACACAGATTTAGACTTGCAGTTGTCTGGCAGGGGTAACCTAGATGATTTCTTTCATAGGCACAATGATGGTTTTTTCTCCCCTATGTTTAAAGAGCTTGACAGTAAGATCCATTCTATGGGCTCAGACTTAGGGGGTATCAGCTCTCACCACCTCGGCCTACCTGAGGTCTCTTCCAGTAGTAAAACTTCAAGTCATGGCAAAGAGTTTGCAAGCAGTAGCATGACTATCAACAGAGGAGGCTCCACGTTTGAAAGCAAGGGCTATAAAATGGCAGATGAGGCTGGAAGTGAAGAGGATCTTGGCTTCAAAGGAGCACATGCCACCAAGAGAGGCCATGCTAAAACTCGCCCTGCCAGAGGTATCCGCACTTCTCCTTTGGGGAAGCCTTCCGTGACCCCCTAGACTAAGTTCATTACTCCTACAATATGTCTCCCATAGCACCTTTTACTTCTTTCTTAGCCCTCTATCATGCTTTATTGAAATTACAGGTTTTTGCTTATTTTTTTGTGCTAGACTGTAAGTTCCATGGGGGCAGGGACTTTGTCTATCATGTTCATCTCTGTATTCCCAAATGCCTAGCAGTGTGGAGTCAGCACTCAATAAATACATGTTAAATGAATGAATGAATGAATCCCTCTGGAACTCAATTTAAAATTTGTTTAACCAAATTCTTTTACCATTCAAAATGTGTGCCATTGGAAATTGTCACTCAACTGATTAATCATATTTTTAGTGTGTGTCTCAGTTGACATTGAGATCAGGTTAAAAACAAGTGATATTAGTATTAAATGATGCTTAGATATCTTTGCTGGTTACTTGCCATTAATCAGGATGTGCAAGTGAAATTCCAAATTCATTGAGAAAAATCCCCCTTTCAATGTGTATGAATAAATGCTACTTACCTGCATAAGTTCCATCCCAGTGTAAGCACATCCTTTCTCTATAAAGGGAAGGAAGGAAGGAAGGAAGGAAGGAAGGAAGGAAGGAAGGAAGGAAGGAAGGAAGG